AAGAAACGAGGCTCCGGGTGCATTTTTCTTCGGGGAGGAACGTGGAACACCCGGGAACTTGGCTCCAGTCGTGGTTATGAATGTTCCCAACATAAGATCGAATGTTTGTTATCCCTGATGCAATCCCGCCGATGGGAATTCGGGACGTTTACAGATGTAAACTTCTACCAGAACGGCGTCCGAGAGTATGGCGTAGGATCAGGTGTGTGGACGTTTATCATCAGTGGGAAAGTGCGCGTGGTTCTCAACCACCGCCTCACCGAGCTGTGGCGTGCAGGTGGATCTAAAGTGGTGGTGAGGGGGCGGTGGGATCGGAAGGGGATTCGGGTGATGGCGGCGGTGCTGCCTAGAGTAGGAAAAGCGAGGGGTATGTCGGTCATTTCTTGCTATGCACCAGTATCAGGCACTGCCAATCAGGACGCCCGTGACATATTCAACGAAGAACTTCGGCATGTCGAGAGCCGCGTACGCGGCCACGACAATCTCGCTGTGGTCGGAGGCGACTTCAATGCGGAAGTCGGACGTCCAAGGGGGGGGGGGGGGAGGAGGAGGGTCTGTCTCAAGTGCTCGGGTTTCATGGCCCGGTCCGCCGTGACGCGACCGGCCGAGACCTCCTCGCTTTCTGCGCGTCTGTGCCATTCTTTGTACTGGGCACGGCGTGCGAGCAGCGGGGGCTGGCTACGTGGTGGCACCCTCGTTTCCGATCTGCTTATCAATTGGGCCATATACTGGTGAGACCACGAGACCGGCGCCACTTCACGGATTGTCGCACACTGCGCTTTGGTCCTCGGTGGGGGTGCTGCGCCACCCCAGCGGTCGCAGAGACGGCGCCGCAGGCGCCAGCGGGCAGTCGAGGAACGGCAAGTTAGGGAGGATGGAATTGAGGCTTGGGCCCCGTGCGCTGGCCACGACCCCGTGGAGGTCGGGGTGCGATGTGAGGGGGGCTGGCCAGCGAGCCGCCGGCCTACCCACAGTCGACCACCCACCCCCAACGATGCAGGCTTGGTGGGCCCTCCTGAGGGGGCAAAGGACAGGAGGGAGCAGATTGCCGCGAAAATCACCGACATGCTTCGCGCCTTGGACAGCCAGGCCGATTGGAAAGCCATCTGCCGCGTTGCGCACGAAGCCGGCCTCGAGGCGTTTGGGCCCCGCGAGCGGCGCCACCAGGTACCCTGGCTACAGCGGCGCAAAGCTGAGAAACGCGCGCTCGATGAGGCGGTGGACGCAGCTGTCGCGGCATGGCGAGCAGCTTCGGAGGAGACCAAGGCGGCGGCGGTTACGGCGAAGCGCACGGCGCTCCAGGACCGCAGGAGGCAGCTTCGACAAAGGGAGCGCCACTATTGGAAAAGGGGTGGGGGAACGAGCCTCCGCGGCCGCTGGTTGTGGTGATCAGGGTGAACTTTTTCGTCTTTTTCGCGGTCTGCGCCTCCGTAGAGGCGACAGGGGAGATTGTGGCCGATGGTCCTCCGAGCGGGCGGAACAGGAGCGGGAACTGTGGAAGGCGCATTTCGCGGCCATCTCTGGGGACGTGGGTGTCGTTCCTGAGCATGTGTGGAGAAGTGTCCCGGAGGTCCCTGCGTCGGCTCTGTGGCTGGATTCCCCTCCTTCGGCTGCCGAGTTGGAGGCGTGCATCCGAAAAATGCAAGCTGGCCGCCAGCCTGGGGGAGACGGGTTCGTGGCGGAGGCCTTCGTGTGCGGGGGCGAGGCCTTGCAGTCAGCAGTCTTTGAGATTGTCAGGACCATGTGGGCACGTGCCGCGCAGGCGGATCCGGGCAGGTGGGCCTCGTCGCGCCGCTGTGGAAAAAATATTGGAAACCGCAAGGACAAGAACACGTGGCGAGGTTTCACGCTTCTGTCAGTTGGGCCCAAGTTGGTGGCACGTGTGGACGCCCCCCGACTCCCCCAATGGTCTGAAGGCTTCCTGGGGGAGGAACAATCAGGGTTTCGCCGGGGTCGAGGTACCGACGATGCTCTCCAGGTGACTCGTCGCTTGGTCGAGGAAGCAGCCACGTTGCGGACGGGGGAAATCGTCGCATTCACGTTCTTTGATATCGAGAGAGCGTACCCCAGAGCGCGTCGTCCTGCATTAAGGCGGCTGTTGGAGAGGCGCGGGTGCCCCCCGGGATTCCTCCGGGTCTGCAAGGCCTGCCATGAACACGCGGGATGCCGCGTGCGTGTCTTGGGAGGGCTGTCCTCTGCGCGGTTCCCTATGAGGGGCCTCTAGCCCTCCTCTTTTCAACATATTCCACGATGCTGTTCTTAAGGACTACCGTGGCCGAAGGAAGCGGGCGGCCGAAGCAGCGGGGGCTGCTCCGGGAGTGCCGTGGACCTATTTGGTAGACGGTCGATTGGGCAGAAGCGCCCGTACTCGGTCCCAGGGAGGCGGTGAGGGGGGCTGGGCTTCCCGGCAAAGGCATACAGCGATTGGAGACGTTGGCTTTGCCGACGACACGGCGTTGGTGGGTTCTCTGGAAGAAATGCAAGCCACTGGGCCGCTCCTGGAGAGGTCCATGACGGACTGGGAGGAAAAGAGCAACCCCGGTAAGAAGGAGCGGCTTCTGATTTTTGGCAAGTGGCGCGCGCCCTATGACGTCAGACGACAGCGCGAGGTGGCGTCATTGAGACACCTTGGAGGGATGCGCCACGAGACCGGCCGATGGGCGACGGATGCCACGAAATGTGTCCAACTTGGCAACACTCTGTCCCGATCAATTGCCAAAGCGCGGGCGGTGGGCACGGCGCGCGGCCGCGGCCGCGGCAGCGGAGTGTCCATCGCGAGTAGGCTTCACGCGATGCAGACTTGCATGGTGGCCGCAGTTACCTTTGTTTGTCGTTCACGCACGTGGACCAGGCAGGATTTGGTCGGCTTCCGAGGGTTGTCAATTATGCGGTCCGCCGGTCGTTCGGCATGGACATCGTGATAAAGAGGGAACATCACATCTCGGATGCTGCCATGTATAAGGCATCGCAGCGGCGCCCAGTGGAAGATATGATCACCCGCCTATCTCTACAATGGCTTGGAATGTCGCCCGCATGCCCGCGTGGCGCACCCCCAAACAGGTGCTCTTTGGTTGGCTGATTGACAGAAGAGGCGCCGAGGATCACAGTAGCCCCCATGCACAGTCCGCATTCCCTCAGCGCGGCTTGCGACGCATCGAAGTCCACGAGATGGACTGGTTCCGCCGGGCCCAGAACAGGAAGGGCTGGACACGCACGATCGATAAGGCGTTACCCCGGGCCGTGGCCACAGCGGAATACAAACGTAGCGTGGACAATTGGACCCCTGGCTTGGCGCTCCCAGTGCCGCCCGCCGTGGCCGCCCCGGCCGTTCCTCCTCCTTTTCCCCCCATCTGTACCTCCCCCTCCCCCTCCGGCTCCCCCTTTCCCCGTCCGGCGGGCGGCAACGGGCATTGCTGCCCTGTGTGCCGTCGGGCATTCTCACAGGGCAACTTGATGCAGTACCATTGTGACGAGGCGCATTCGGTCCGCGACCCCCACCTTGTCATTAGCATCTCCCATCAGTGCCCAGATTGCAAGGAGCGTTGGGCTGTGACGTGCGTCGCCACAAGCGAACCTGTCCAGCTAGGCTCGAGCTCCGGGAGGCTCTACACACGCAGGCTGGTAGCTGGCTCTCTGTAGCACTGGGCCCGCACCCCCCGGGGCCGTCCTCGTGGTGGGCGGCGACGGATGGGTCGAGCCAGGATGGGGAAGCGGGCTGGGGAGTCGTGCTGCGGCGGTTTACGGGCCCGGGTCTGCCCGGGATGGTCCCGGACTACGTATTCCATGCCCCCGCGGTGAGCAGGGCGTTGGGCCGCAGGTGGTCGGGTGCCAGGTGCCAGACAAACATTGCCACGGAGCTGTCAGCAATCGGTGAGCTCATGCTTTGGCTGCTGGAGGAAGCCCCAGACGGCGGATGCGCACCCGCGCACGTTCGGTATGATTCCGAGTACGCGGCGAACATAGCGCGCGGCCTGTGGGAGCCCAAGTCAAACGAGGAACTTGCAGAGTCGGTGCAGACGCTCACTGCGAAGGTGGCCGAAAAGCGCACAATCACGTGGGAGCGCGTGCGCGGGCACACGGGGGCCCACGACAACGAGCTTGCAGACCGAGCGGCGGACCTGGGCGCACGAGGGTATGCGTCCGCGCAATCAGCCACGTGGATGTCGGCCCCCCCTGCTATCGCCGAGTTGCATTGGGGGGATGTGGATTATTGCAAAAATTGTGGTTCAAAGGTGCTCACCAAAGATCTGTGTGGCCACATCCGTCGGTGCGCAGTAGCCGGTTTCGCGATCCCGGACGGCATGGGGAAGCGTCGGAAGTGCCTCAATTTTGTGTAGGAACACTGCCGCCCCACACATGAGGCCAAATGCAGGGGCAGCGACATTTGGAATCGTACGTGTAGTAAGTGTGGGCTCGTCTTTCCGCCCCCTCCGCCGGGGCAGCTTTGCCGGCCGCTGGGCAGCCGCGAAAAATGGTGCCAGGGGACTGCCGCTGCGAAGGCAAAGGCCAGGCAGTTGCGGCTGCGGCGGCTGCCCCGGGGGTGGCCCCAGCGACCCCCCCTCCGCCGGCGTTGGTAGGCGTCGCTAAACCAAAGACGCAACCTCGGGCAAAGCCGAAGGCGGGCGCGGGTGCGAAGGCGGCCCCCCGCGGGAAGGCGGGCGCAGCCCAGGCAGCTGGTAAGGCGCAGGGGGCGGACGCCAAGGCCAAGGCAGCTCAGAGGCTGGGCGGAGTAGTGCGGAGACGCCCGGCTGGCCCAGCCCGGTAGGAACCCGCGGTTGCTTGCTTGTTTTTTTTTTTTTGTTTTGGGGGGGGGGCTCGGGCGCAGGGCGCGTGGATTGTGGGCGGTGCCCGGCCAAAGGTGGTCGCGCTGTGTTTTCGGTCAAGGAGCAGCACCTGGCCAAGGAGCAGCCGCAGAAGATGTCGCCGGGACAGTCCTCGCAGCAGCCGGCGCCGAGCCAGGAGAGGAAGCCAGGCTCTATACGGAACCAATCCCAACGGCGATGGCAGAGCCAGCGATGCCGGGAAAAGGGTTCGCCTCGGTAGCTCGCCCCAACGGTGGCAGAGGTGCTCCATCAGTCCTACCTGGCGGACCAGGTGCGCCTGGAGGAGTTCCTCACCACTACATCGGGGCGCCGGAAGGGTGGCACCAGACGTCCATAGCCACGGCGCCTCGCATCGCGGCGCAGCAGGCGCCCCCGGAGGCCTCCTTCCAGATGATCTCGACGGCTTCACTGGTGGCAGCTTATCCTTCCTACGGGGCGGATCCACCCTTGCAGGGGCCGCAGGGGCAGGCGAAGGGCTACAGCATGGGGCCGACCAGCCCGTCGGGTCCGAGGGATCAGGAGGGCAACCTGCTATCTTCTACCACGATAAGCAGCACCGATCTTCCCATATCGGGGCTGCCTTCCCAATAGTCGGTGGCGGCCCCACCTCGGCGGCGGAATTCTCGGCCCTCGAAGCCCCCTGCCGAGCGCAGAGATCCCTGGACCGAGACCCCAGAGGCGAAGCAGGCGCGGGATCGGCGCCGGAGGGAGGCAGAGGAGGCAGCCAAGCGCGAGAAGGATCGCTTGGCCAGGGACGGCTGGACGGCGGCAGGGCGGAAGTCGTGGGGCGGCAAGGACCAGAACTGGGTCGACGACGACCAGAAGTGGGACAAGGGCGGCCAGAAGTAGTGGTAGGAAAGTCTCCGTCCCAGAGTGATGCACCCTCGAGCGTCGCCGGGAGCGTTTCCGGCTTCGCCGGCACGAGGAGCTGGGGCGCCAATCTCTGCAGTACTTTCGAGAGATAGATCCTGAAAGGTGTCAGGCTTTCCAGGGCTATTTCGGCATCGAGTGGAAGGGGGAAGAGAACGGGCAGGTTCGACCCAAGTGTCCAGAGCTCGACGACTCCATCTTCCATGACCCCTGGTCCGACGATCTAGAAGTTATGATGACCAAGCGTCTGAAGAAAGCCATTCTCAGGGATTCGGGCATCAATGGGGGTTACAGACTCTCTAAGTGATTCAGGAATCGCCTGCGGGACCGAGCTTTCATAAAGGTCTTTTCTCCTCCGCGAGTGGCGCAATTCGCTCGGCGCGCGGAAATCTCCTGTCTAGACAGCTTCGACAAAGAAGGGGGCTGGGATTTCACCAGGAAGGGGGCCGATACAAGCTTAAGACTCGTCAGAGAGAAGAAACTTTGGGTGATTCTCTTAGAGCCCCCTTGCGGCCCCTTTCCCATTTCCAGGAACGCTTATGCTCATCAGGAGATAACCGAGGTGCAGCGGCAGAAGGACGGAGAGGCGCTGCTCCTGCTAGGTTTGGCGATGGAGATCGCAATGGTCCAGGTCGAAGGCGGTCGTAAGTTCGCTTTTGAATGCCCATCTAGTGCATCTTCCTGGCCAGCCCAGGCAGTGCAGCATATTATGGGATTGGCGGGAGTGGTATACATCAATAGCGACCTGTGTCACTTCGGTTTCAATGTTGACGGAAGGGGGGCCTTCATCCAAGAAGCCGACCCATTTGATGTCCTGTTGCCCTAAGTTCCCAGAACGTTTTGTTTCAGCTAAGTGTTCTTGAGATCGCGTTCGCGTTCAGCTTGCGGGGGGGGGGGGGGGGGGGGGGGGGGCTTCGAGGGGTCGCGTTTATCCGCCTATGTTCGCCAAGGCTTTAGCCGAGGCCGTTCGAGCCAGCGTTGGTGACGCCCACCTGGATCCCGCCCCGCAGGAGGTCAGAGTGGTCCGGAGGTCCCACTCTCAGCCGTTAGTGGAGTCTCCGGAGGGGGGCAGTTTTCCCACGGGGGGGGACTTAGCTAGCTCGACCGGAGCGGTAGACGGAGGAAGTGAAAGAGCCCAACCCGGAGGGGAACAGGGCGAGGAGGCGGAAGCCGAAGAAGAGCCAGAGACAGAGGCTCGTCACCACCGCAAAGGTGAAGCAAATGATTCGCAAAGTGCGCGTGCATCTGGCTCACCCACACAAGGACGTTTTTCTTAAGATACTCAGGGCGGCCCAGGCGAAACCGGAAGTGTTACGATACGTGAGAGACGAGTCCACTTGCGGCGATTGTCAGGCGCATTCCAGGACGGCCATGATCAGGCCAGCGGCGGTTCCAAAAACGCTTGCGTTTAGCAAAATCATCGCCCTCGATACGTTCTACCTTGCGTTTAGGGATGAACAGTTGGCTTTTCTCAACGTTGTATGTCGCGGGACCAATTTTCAGGTTGTGGAGCTCTACGACGGCAAGGCTCTTGGCGCTTGAAGAGCGTCTACGCGTGCCTGGGTCAGGCCCTTCGGCCCACCAGTGTTCGCCATCGCCGATGGGGGCCCCGAATCTAAGGGGCAATTCGAGAGGGGAGGCGAGCATCTAGGTGCATTTCATCACATTACCGACTCGGAGAGCCCTTGGCAGAACGGCAGGGCTGAGAGACATGGGGGGTGGGTAAAAGAAATTATTTTGAAAGCCTCGGAGACGACACTCGTCACCATGGTGTCGGAACTCGAAGCGCTGGCCCATGAGGTCACGGCGGCCGAAAATCGGTGCCTCCACAGAGGCGGCTTCGCTCCGTATCAGCTTGTTTTTGGGGTAAATCCCATGATTCCCAACGATATCCTGGCCGCCGATCCGCTCCAGGTTGTCGGGGTCGAAGACCTCTCTCCCCGCGGGGTCTTGGGGCCGAGATACCGCCTCGGCTGAGTTCGCGAGGAGAGACGCTTTTCGACGGCGCGCCCGCAAGGAACTTTTTGAAAGCTCCAGTCTCAAGAAACTGGCGAGCGCCGTCAAAGCCCCCATTCACCGGGACAAGCATATTGTGCCGGGCCAGTGGGCTTATGTCTGGCGCAGGGCGCCCAGGGGGGGACAGAAGACCTACGTTTTTCAGAAAGATCGGTGGGTCGGACCCGGGCTTGTTGCGATGCAAAACGGTGGAGCCATTTTGGCGGCGATGCGGTCGAGGCTTTGGACATGCTCGTCGGAAAAAGTTAGGCCGGCCAGCGCGGAGGAGTCTTGGGGTGGCGAGGTTATGGCGGGTCCAGCCATTCAGCAGCTCCTTCGAGAGGCTCAGCCCAGGGGGCGCCGAGCGGGGACCAACGTGGCTTCCAAAGGTCCACCACCTCCCGAGGCTTGGGATCTGGGGGGGCCCACTGAAGATGTCCCGGGGTTTGGCGTTCCCGTGATCGAAAGAGACTTCGGGGCCGCCGCCGGAGAGTCGCTCGAGAGGTCACCTCAACCACCTCCGGGAGAGGAGGAAGATCCCAGAGGGGGCAGCGCGGGACACGAGAGCTCCGTTCTGGAAGCTCCGTCCGGACTTCCCTCCATTCCTGACGGCAGGGAGGCGACCCCTTCAGACGACGCTCACGATCCAGGGATGAGTGGCGGGCAGATCTCGAGAGGAGTTTCGTCCGATCCGGTCAGCACCGGAGTTTTGTCTCGATCAGAGTCTAGAGGCTCGCTTGCACCATCAGGCGCTGCGCCCCGCACCGCGTCGGAGAGGGGCGGCGACGCGGGCGGGGGCGCGCGGCAGAGGCCCCCTCCTCCACCGCATGGGGAGACGAGGGGGCGCACCTCGGAGCAAGGGGCTGCCCCGTCGGGCGCGCGCGGCGAGCTCCCAGGGGCAATCGCCCAGGCTCCGGACGCTCCTCCGCCCATCAATCCCCTTAGGTTGAGCATTGCCGACACGGCTAGCCACCGTCGCCTTGCCGATTCAGACCCCGGTCGGATCCTGCGCGAGATGGAGGAAGCTGTGAGGCGCAATAGACAATTGGACGGGCATAGATTGGCCAGGCTCACCCCCGGGGAGACTTTCCGAGGGGCCCCAGTAGGTAGGGTTCAACAGCAAGCTTCCGAGTTAGAGCCCGAGCCACAGCATCTTCGAGCCAGGTCTCGTTCCCCAGATTCGTCCCTGGGCACGGCTTCGGCGAGCGCTGCTTTTGTTCCCCGAGCAGGGGGAAGCGACGACCGTCGCCGACGCCTTCTTCGAGACTTGTGCCAGCGACGGCGGAAGCCATACGTCGGCGTTTTCGAGATTTGGATCAAAGACTCCAGGAGGAAGGCTGGAGCGCAGCCTGGATCAATTACTCCAACGGGAATGCGGACGTAGAGGTAGTTCCCCACGAGTCCGGGGAGCGCTCTCTGTCGCTTCTGGTCGTCCAGGGGGCCGAGGTTCATTATAAAAAACCTGAACCCCGATGAATAAATCAGTTTGACGCTTCGGACTCGGCGGAGTGGAAGGCTATCGCCGAGGGGGCCAGCGCCGTCATCGTGCATCCCCCTGACAAGGCCAACGAACGGAGGAGGCTCTTCCCTAATCGAATCGCGCCCAGTCGCATGCAAGAAGGTGGAAGCCTCAAGAAAGGGACCTTTGCGAGACCTAAGGCCGGGTCTAGGTGGTGCGTGCGTGGGCATCGAGACGACGACACCAGCGAGCTGCCAGTATACGCGCCCACTCCATGCATGGAAGCACTGATGATGTTTCTCGTGGCGTCGGTCAGTTCTAAACTAGTCATTGACGTAGGAGACATTAAGAATGCGTTTTGTCAATCAGAACCTTTGAATAGGGCTCGGGAGAGGGTTTTCGTCGAACCATGCGACGGGGTGCCAGTGCCGCCAGGATCTCTCATCGAGCTCATAGCCCTGGTGCACGGTTTAGATGATGCCCCATTGGCCTTTCACCGCGCGGCAGCTAACTTCATGCACGCCCAGGGCTTCGAGAGAACCAAGTTCGAGCCGTGCTGGTTTGTGAAGCGCTCCGACAGTGGGCTGGAGGCCCAGGTGCTCGTCGAAGTTGACGACTGGGCCATCGCGTTCAAGCCCGGGTCAGAGGATCCGTGCGCCACGCCTTTCAAGCCCAGGTTCACGTTCGGGAAAAATGCGTCGTCTCGACGCTGGAGGAGTCGACTGCATTGGGAGGAGATTAGGGTTACATGGGGATCGTATCTTAGTGGGTCAGGAAAAGTACAGACTCGAACAACTCCAGAAGATCCCTCTGGCCCGAGGCAGAAAGGGAGACCACGGGGCTCCCTTGCTAGGCGGTGAAGTATCCGTTTTCAGATCTCTCGCTTATAAGTTGCTATGGGTAGGCCGAGACACCATGGCGGGGGCCGCTGGTACGGCATCGATCTTGGCCACCAGGGTCAATAGCCCATGCGTTTGAGATTTGTTGGGCGCCAACAAGATGGTGGACCATCTCCGTTTGACGGCCTCACTTCCCGTAATCGTATGGCGTTTCAAGCCAGATGGGTTTGTTCTGGCGACTGCCAGCGATTGTGGCGGAGTGGGGGCGGAAGACAAAGATGGCCTGCAACGTCCCCAGGAAGCGTGGCAGATATATGTCGCTGACAACTCTCTGGCTCACGGATCCCGTGCTCGTGTCGCGCCAGTGGCCTGGAGATCCGGAAAAATCAGACGACAGGTGTCCTCCTCTTTCGCTGGGGAGACTCTGTCTGTGTCCAGCGCTCTTGGGGAAGCCGAGTGGCTTCAAATACTTTTGCTGGGCGTGGTTAGAGGAAACGTGGTTCATGCGAAGTGGAGAGAGCACATAGGTCCGTTCGTTGCCATTCTAGAGGATCAATGCCAGGTTCTTGGAGAGCCGTCTGGGAACATCAGCGTGGTCGGCGCCAAGGGTATATACGACGCGCTCTCCAAGCTCACGGCAGGGTCCAAGTCGGACCGGCGGGCGGCCATTGACTTAGCTGTAGTCAGGACCTCTATGGAAATAATCTGGAGTGCGATCCGATGGATGCCACATCCGCTGATGCCGGTCGATTGCATGACCAAATCGGATCTCGCTAAGATCAATGCGGCCCAACTGATGCTGATCAAGTCAGGAATGCTCCGTCCCACTGCCGAAGAGTCCTCGATTCTGGAGAGGAAGGGGGACCCCCGGACCAGGGGGCGTTCCAGGGCCGAGTCGACGCGACAGCTCCAGTAGGATCCTACCTTGGTTGACCGTCTCAGAAGAAAGAGCGAATCGAGACTCCGTAGCGCGTTTGGCGCTGAAGGAGCCCGCAGTCTTTCCCCTTCTCGTCCAACTCTCATAGCGTCGGCGATCCCCTTTTTGAAGGAACGCCAACTGGCCAGAGAAGAGCGACCACGCGCTCCGTTTCGTGCTGCAGTTGCCGGTGCCGCAGGGAGAGAAAGAGAGAGAGAAAGAGAGAGAGAAAAAACAAAAAATAAAGAAAGAGAGAGAGAGAGAGAGTCCAGGTACGAGGACGGAACCCCTATTGTGCCAGGACTATGTTTCACTTTTTTTCCATATGACCCTCCAGGCAAGGTGGGTAGTCCGGCCACTCCCCCCCACTTCAAGCTTATTGTTTTTTCGGGGCACTGTGCCATCGAGTGCCTCTGGCGTGTGGCTTTGGTGAGCCCCCCAAAGTCCTGAGCTTGACAGTGTATACTGGGGGAGAGGAGAACGGTCCATGACCAGTTTGGCTCAAGTCCTTTTCTTCACAGCCAATCCTGATTCCCTCACCTTCCATACCATCCCTTTCCCTTTTCCCCATTTACACATCCGCTTGGAGGGCCACCGAGCTGAAAGAGGAAACCCGGAATACTGTTCATAGGGGACATCGCCCGTTTGAGAGCACCGTCGCCTTCGAAAACGTCATCGTCAGGGGAACATCCCGGGCATCTTCGTGACGTGCTGCGGCTGAACTTGCAAGTCTTTTCTCCAGTTGCTCCTTCCCTGGACCGATTGTTTCCCTCCTGCAGCCCTGAACACCTCCCTCTCCTGTCTTTGCTCATCCCCGCCCTCGCATCCCTTCCATGGTCATCGGCCACCCGTGCAGGGGGGGTCGGAGGAGCGGGGGAGGCTTCTTCGAAGTGCCCCTGCTTCGCAGAAGGCGTGGGCCTTGTGCGCGCGGCCATAGCCAACCGACGGGAGAGGTGGCCGTGGGAGGAGGGCTCGCGGCCACGAAGCCGTGCCGCCCGCCGTCAGCGGCCCGACCGCGGGCGGCACGGGCGGCGACCCGCCGCAGACCTTGTGGAGGTCGTTGACGACGAGCACGACGACGACGACGACGGCGGCGACGACGGCGGCGACGGCGACGACGACGGCAGACCTCGAACAGGCCGTTCCAATGGAACCCTTTCCTGCGGGCTCGCGGGCAGGGAGGAGGAGGGGCGATGGAGAACCGGGGCGGGGCGCGGGGAGGACCTTCCCCCCCATCCCCTCGGCCCAGACCTGCGGCGGTGCCGGGGTCGATCGCTCCGTGGTGGTGCTTTGGCCCCGAGCCTGCACATATGACAAAGTCAACGCCCGGATCCGAGTGTTCTCGGTGGGCCTCCATGGCACGGTGCAGGGCCTCCAGGACCAGGTTTGGCCGCGGCCGCAGGCCAGTCCACCCGATAGGGGGACGAAGAATGGCATCAACACACGACTTCGGAGGTCCGCGCGGATATCTCGGATCGGCGGTGGACGGAGCGCGCCAGGGGCTGCGCCGGAGGCGCCGCCAGGGGGATCCAGCGCGGATCTGGGGAATCCGCGCGGACCTCGGAGTTTTCATGTTCATGTCACGGTCCCTACTCGAAGTCGCACCCTGGGAGTGGCCGACGGAGACGTCGCTGCGCAACCCGGCGCCCGTCCCTCCGCGCGCCAGGCGGCGCGCCGAAGGCGGCGGCGGGCGGGCCGTTCACGGCGGGGCAGCGGGTCGAGTACCGCAGCTCGGGCGGCGGATGGATCCCCGCCGTGGTGCAGGAGGTCGCCGCGGCGGCGGGGGCGGGGGCAGCGACGGGGGGCGGATGGTCAAGGGAGGAAAAACCACCCAGACCCGACAATCGCCGTTTACCAAACAGCCTTGGACGTCTACGAAACAACTCCGCCCTGTCCGATTCCTTCCTCGGGCGCGCTTCCTGGACGGCTTCGCTCGTCGGGGTGATTCTGATGGGGGATGGATCTTCTGCCCTCCAGATGGGCTCAGGAGGGACACCCATCAACCCCCAGTCGCCCATGGATCGTCGATACGGGTCTGATAGCCCCACCCCGCCCGGGCGCGTGCGGATTTGCTATCGTCGGGGGTGGACAGAACCCCCAACAGTGACACACTTCGATTAGTGAATTGTCCGTTTTCGCTTCTCGAGAGGGCGCCGTGGCCGCTATTTCCCAGGCTTGCGCCCGCCAGGTTGGGGCCTCAGGTCGTTTTCACTAAACCGCGTTTTACTAAAGGGGGGTCTGTCCATCCCCGATATCGGGGGCCGATCGTCGATACCTCGGCGATCTATCGGAGGTCGCCGCGGCGCGGGAGGGGGGGGGGGGCCCCTGCATGTGGACCATGTATCTCCGCGGAGGGAGAGGTACCGATGCCGCTGCCCTTCCCTCGTGTCCCCGTGTGGGGGAGTCTCCCTGGAGGCCCTCGGCGCCACAGCCAGGATCGCATCGACATTCTAGTCATAAGGCGCCCCGGGAGAGGCCTGGGGAGTCGAGTTGTGGGTGGTCCCCAAGCGTGGTGGTGACAACACCCGGTGGTGAGGAGCTTCTTGCAGGACCACGAAACGTGTGAGGGCATGCCGAATTCAGGAGTGGAACCGCATGCGAATCCTGCCACTGGAGCCTTCGGTGTAGCTCCCTACTGTACAGGACCACGAAATGTGTGAGGGGTGTGCCGAAATTGGGGGTGGAGCCGCATGTGAACCCTGCCACTGGGGCTTTCGGTGGAGCTCCCGATGGGGTCACGAAACGTTTGGGGGGGGGCGCCGAAATGGAAGGTGGAACCGCATGCGAACCCTGCCACTGGGGTCTTCGATGGAGCTCCCTGTGAGGACACAAAACGTATGAGGGATGTGCCGAAATGAAGGTTGTAACCGCATGCGAGCCCTGTCAGTTGGGCCTTTGGTGTACTGAAATGGGGGTGGAACCGCATGCGTGCCAATGGGATCTTCTGTGGAGCTTCCTACAGGGCCACGAGATGTGTGAGGTGTGTGCCGACATGGGGGTGGAACCGCATACGAACCCTGCTATTGAGGCCCTCGGTGGAGCTCCCTATGCGGCCACGAAGCGTGTGAGGGGTGTGCCGGAATGGGGGTGGAACCGCATACGAATTCTGCTATTGGAGCCTTCTGTGGAGCTCCTTGTGGGGCCACGGAACGTGTGAGGGGTATGTCGAAATGGATGGTGGAACCGCATTCGAACCCTGCCGCTGGGGCCTTCGGTGAAGCTCCCTATGGGGCCACGAAGCGTGTGAGGGGCGCAGGGGGTGGGAGAACCGGGAGGAGGCAGAGGAGGGAGCAGCGGGAGGAGGAGTGAGAACGCGTGGCGTTGTCTCTTCAAAACGAGGACCCAACACAACAGCACGGTTGGGAAATAGTCAAAAAGTCGGGGGACGATGTTTCGATGTTTTGGTGGTGTGTTTGAATTTGTAATGTCCTGCAACATTCGCCTGTAGGAGGACATGCCTGATGACCAAAGCAGGAAAGGGGGGAAAGCCGTTCACGGGCGTTCTGGCGAATGGCAAGAGATGTTCAAAGCGGCACCAACCCTTCGGGTAGGCGTTTCTGGATGCCCTCCATCTAGGGAGGAAAAACTATCCGGACAGGATAATCGGCGTTTACTAGACGGCCTTGGGCGTTTACTAAACAGCCCTGCCCTGTTCGATTCCTTATTTGGGGTCGTTTGCTACACGACTTTGCGTGTCGGGGTGGTTATCATAGGGGGGGATTTGCTACCTCTGCTCCAGAGGCGTGAGCGGGTGCCTGATCGGAGCGCGGTGAGGCCAGCAGGTTGGCGGCGTCGGAGCGTCAGCAGAACAAAAACAGATGCAGAGGCGACAGCCCTGCCTGCAGTTGTCCCAGTCTTGGAGGGAATGAGGACATCTCGTAAGTACACGCCAGGGTTTCGTAGCGGATTCGTTGGTTGCTGTCGTCTGTCGCCCCTATTGGTGCAGGAGCCGTCTGATCACCTTCGCGCTCACTGTGCGTGCGTGCCAAGTTCACGTCTCAATCGCATGCTGGGCAGTGGCACTCGGTTTCCCTCTGAACGCCCTGCAGCTCCTCTCACCACTTCCTTCCGCTCCTTTGCCTGCCCCGCAGGTCCACCCCGATGGGAGCTACAAGCTGGACTGCAGCAGGGCTGGGCGCGGGAGGGCCGGAACGTCTCGCCTCCCCTGCACGCACCTCCACTCCTCCGCTCCTGCGCTGTCGTGTTCCTCCACTGCTCCACGGTAGGTTCGCGTCGTGTCGACCGGCGGCGACCCCGCCGCCCCTCGTGTCACGTTGAACGCCCCCAGCGACCCAGAATCGGTCGATGTTGAGCGATCCCAAAGTTCGGACTCGGCCAATCGTTCAAGGTTGAACGATCCCCGCGGTGTTAGAAAACAGCGCCGAATTTGGCACGACGCAAACTTGCCGCACACCTCTGCTCCTCCAATCGCCATCTCTCCTTCAATCCCTCCCCCCATCTCTCCTCCTGTCCCCTCCCCCATCGTCCTCTCCCTCTCCTTCTCCCTTCCCTGCCCCCGTTCTTGCTCTACCGCTATACTCAATGAAACATCAGGGCATCCCAGCTCTCCAAGAGAATTATGCTCCGTGTTGCAATATCGATAGTCGCATCGTGTTCGTAGTCGCAATCGTCGTCGCAGTCGTCGTCGCCGTTGTTGTGCGTCGGGCGGCGCGGCAAAAACAAGGATGCTCAATTATTGGTGGAGCCCCAATCCTTCAACAAGGTCGTCGAGACGAACATGGATTTCCACTAATTGGGGGCGCCTAGAGACTTTTTGCGGTTACTGTCCCGTGCAGGGGTCGTTATTCCTTCGTTTTGGTGTCTTGCGCGCTGGATTTCCAACAGGGCGTTTCCCACACAGCGTTTGCGCTTACGGGTTCCTTGAATTCTCAATACTTGGATTATGATGTCCCTACCTTCTTTAGCCTTGACCACCAGAAATTATTAATCGCTTCGCTCATACCGCCGGCCCGTATTGTGCCCTCGCTGGCGATTTGCCAAAATCTCCCCAAAAATTGAAGGAAAACAGTGAACTTTGCCTCTTGGGGCCCTCTTGGGAGTGCTCTTGAAAGCCTCGTGGGGCGTCTGGGGCTATCTCGAGGGCCTTTTGGGGGCCTCCTGGGGCTTCAAAGGGGCCTCTTGGCGCCTCCTGGGGGCTTCTTAGGGCCGAGGGCTCGAAATGTTGTTTCGTGTTCCCCCTCTGGGGCTTCTCTCTTGGAGCCCTCTTGGGCCGTCTTGGAGGCCTCTTGGGCCGTCTTGGAACCCTCTTGGGCCGTCTTGGGGCCCTGTCGGAGGCCTCTCGGGCCTCTTAGGGCGATCTTGGGGGCCTCTTGGGCCATCTTGGGGCGTCGCGATGCCGAAAAGGTGGAGGCGCCAAACTCTCCCCAACACCTAAGGACAAACAAAGCATTTTGCCTCTTGGGGCCCTCTTGGGAGTGCTCTTGGAAGCTTCGTGGGGCGTCTGGGGCTATCTCGAGGGCCTTTTGGGAGCCTCCTGGGGCTTCAAAGGGGCCTCTTGCGCCTCCTGGGGGCTTCTTAGGGCCGAGGGCTCGAACTGTTGTTTCGTGTTCCCCCTCTGCGGCTTCTCTTAGAGCGTTCTTGGAGCCCTCTTGGGCCGTCTTGGAGGCCTCTTGTGCCGTCTTGGGGCCCTGTCGGAGGCCTCTCGGGCCTTTTAGGGCGATCTTGGGGGTCTCTTTTTGGGATGTCTTGGGCGTCGCGATGCCGAAAAGGTGGAGACGCCCAAATCTCCCCCAAACCTAGGACACGCAATGAACTTTGCCTCTTGGGGCCCTCTTGGGAGTGCTCTTGAAAGCCTCGTGGGGCGTCTGGGGCTATCTCGACGGCCTTTTGGGGGCCTCCTGGGGCTTCAAAGGGGCCTCTTGGCGCCTCCTGGGGGCTTCTTAGGGCCGAGGGCTCGAAATGTTGTTTCGTGTTCCCCCTCTGGGGCTTCTCTTAGAGCGTTCTTGGAGCCCTCTGGGGCCGTCTTGGAGGCCTCGTGGGCAGTCTTGGAACCCTCTTGGGCCGTCTTGGGGCCCTGTCGGAGGCCCCTCGGGCCTCTTAGGACGATCTTGGGGGCCTCTTGGGCCGTCTTGGGGCGTCGCGATGCCGAAAAGGTGGAGACGCCCAAACATCCCCAAAACCTAAGGACAACCAATGACTTTTGCCTCGTGGGGCCCTCTTGGGAGTCTCTTGGGGCTCCTTGGCGGCGTCTTTGGGGCCCCGGGGCCTCTCGGGGGGCTCTTGCAGGCCTCTTAGGGCGGGAGGGGGGTAGTCGATTGCGGCTCCCCCCTCGGAGGCCGCGATCCTCGTGAGGGGTGTCGAAAAATGGCCCTCCCCTGAAGTGCGCTGGTGGTTCCTCCCGGGACCTTGCCGGGGTACTTTTCGTCCGGGGACCCCCAGGGGCCGCCCAGGGGGCGCGAACTAGAAACATTGTGAAACAGTTAGAGGAGATATTAGCACGCCTCTGGCCCGTTGGGCCGGCGAATTCCGAGCTTTAGGGCAACACCGAAGTTGGAAGATTTGCACGTGTCGGGCCTGGGGAGGCGATGCCCAGTCGACACTGTTGCGATATTTTTCGGGGTGTTCGAACATATTTCTGGGATGTGGTCCTACAGTACGATGGGAGCAACATAATACTTGGGGTGTTTCCATCGGTTTCGGCCCAACGCCCGAACGCGAGCGCCCACTGGGCGTCTCGTGTTGTCGTTTTGGGTGCCCCTGGCGTTCGCCCGCATGCCTGCGCGGGCGCCTCTCGCACCTATCCGTGTCCGTTTCGTGCGGGCCTCGTGCTGCCTACCCCAGAGATCTGTTGATGACGAGGGTGAGTTTCAGGCTATGATGTATGGCCCTGCCCCTCCGCAGCACCCTCAGACAGCTCCTGCAGGAGAGTTTGCTGCTGTCTGCCAGGCTGTTCTATTCGCTGGCGACCCCTCGGATTTTTACACTGATGCTCAGCTGGTTAAGGACCATTGTTCTCTCCCTAGGGTCGAGCAGCTCTCGCCCAAACGTTGTTACTCGGGATTTGCTCTTTCGCTGCTGCATGACAATCATAAGGTCAGGCAACTGTGTAAGGTCAAAGCCCACCGTTGTTTAGACGAGTGGGACGACCAGCATGATCTGATGTGCCGCTTCGGAAACCACTGGGCAGATGTAGCAGCTAAGAGAGGGTCCGCTGGCGAGGGCTACCTTGGGCACCCAGCCCCCTCCCCTGAAGTATGCACGCGCCTTAGTTTTGATATCAAGCTCGCACGCGCAGTCGCTCTTCTGGGAGCTAAGCTTCTTCCTGTGTGGCCGCGCCTAGACTCGGAAGGAGCTGAGTTCGCGAAGCCACCTCGCGAGAAGCAGGAGAGCCGCCCTAGATGTCAGCGGTAGGCTACCCAGCTTTCCTCGCTTGGGTCGGCACCAGGTCTTTGGTAGTGCTCGCAGTGTGGGAAGGTCAACCGCTCCCCCACGCATGACATCCCACCTGCAGCTCCTGCCTGCAGTCCGCGTGTCTCTCTTTCACCTGTGGCTTTGGCAGGAAAAGGGCACCGCTGCATCACGTTACAGTGTTCTGACAATGTTGAGTTTGTTGTCTGCCTTGTGTGTTCTTTCTATTCCTCTCATGGCAGGATCGCGGGCTAGCTAGGACATGTCAAGGCCGACTAGGCCCACCCGCTACGGCAACTGGAGCCCGATCTGAAAGGGACGCCATCCTGTCAGGGGTGGAGTTCATGTAGAGCAAGGACCATGGCCTGTGTTTTCTATAGCGCCAGCGCCTACTATAGTGGTTGGGAGGGTTGAGGTCGTCGTGGGGTCTGTCGTTGGCTGTGGGACGTTTTCGATCTGGCAGTGGCGATTTTGTCTCCAGGCCTCCTGCTGCCAGCCTTCAGCCGCCCGAAGCATCTACTCAGCCCTCACCCGGCGAAGAGCTCGAGGGCGAAGAAGCAATTGCCAACTTTTTGTTCGGCAGCCCTGTGCACCAAAATGATGATGGGGGGGTCGTCGTTGAGGAGTCTGTCGTCGGTGGGGGGGAGTCTTCGAGGACCACTGGCAGGGGCGATTTTGCCTGCAAGCTTCCTGCCGCCAGCCTTCAGCCATCCATTGCTGCTGCTCCGCCCGAGGACGATCTCGCAGATGTGGCTGCAGCGTGTAACCTTTTTTCTCGGCAGCCCTGTGCGCCAAGTTCAAGGTGGACGGTCTGTTGTCGTTGAGTCGGTCGTTGGGGGGTCTGTCGGTGGAAGTGGTAATCTATCTGCATGCAGTCCCTCTGGGAACGCACCAGGCTCACTTCCTGGAGCTCCAGTGCGTGTGGCAGCGGCCTCCTCCCCCCTCGACGTTAAGTTTGAAGGTGAAGAGGTGGCCGCGTTTGCCCCTGTCTCTGATGACCTTTTCCGAGCCATCTCTCAGGCGCATTCTGTGCGCGAGTTGGCTTTTCCTATCGTAAGGCGGGCTTTTGGGGCGGCAGGGTCAACCCCCAGCGTGGCTGGTGCATCTTGTGCATTTCAGGCCCCTGGTCCCGCTACCCGTTTTTTCGTCATCCGCCTCTGTCAACACGCCTGCGATTCAGGCGCTCTGGGACCGTTTCTTTGCGGAGGCTGTTTCTTTTGCGGGGGAGGAGATCGAATCCGACGGCTTTTCGCCGGGATCATATTAAGTGGCCATCATTATCATGTTGATGCCCAACGACAAAAACAGGCTCATACGCTACACAAGCGTAGCTTCCACACCGTTGCTCACACACAACTTAGCCTTTACCTCAGAGGCCGCACCATCGATGCCAAAGGACACATTACACCACAAGGCTTGCACATGCCAGATTGTACCACCTACCAAACATCATGCGCATTCACATATACATATGTATGCATATGCGCGGGTAGATATTAATTGAAATCTTGTTCACTGCAGATTTCCATAATGAATACCACATGTGTCGTACCACCTCGCGTGTACCACTTACCCCACGTCATGTATGCTGCACCACAAAGGCGGCACATCCAGATTTCAATCCACCATTGTGTTGGGTTCACGCTGGTGGGCATTAGTTGTTTTGTGTTATTCGGGACAGCGTTGCGGTTGCAGCCTTTTTACCGGATTGCAGGATCGGCGTTTGATTCCCGTCGTTCAGATTTTTGTCCTGACCTCACAGCGCGGCCGGCATTTCGGGATCCGATATAGTCATCGTCGTTGCAATTCCCCTTCGCCCCCTACACCTCCTGCTGCCGCTGCTCCTATTTCATCTTCATATTTCTTCATCATCATTTTTTCTCCTCCCCCTGCTGATCTTCACGTTTTCGCGCCATGTCTTCCCCTCCGCTGATTGAAGACAGCCGCCCCGTTCTGATCGTGCGTCGCGCGATAGGGGTCACTCGGGGGATGATGGCCCTCTTGGCTGGTCGGCAGATGGAGCATCACGCAGCGACGCGGGAAGGGAAGGGATGGGTGGGATGAGCCAGATGTCTGATGATTAGCTTGGTTATCCCCCCTCTTGTTTTTCTCGGAGCTCCAACATAGGGGTACGTCGTTGCAGAGATTTCCGGAACTTTCACGGAGCGCCCCAGAGCGTTTTGGAACGGCCGCGTCGCCCGATGCGTCCCACGGGCCCGCCCGTAATCAGAGTTTCTCGATCCACTTTGACCCTCCTTTTGCCTTCGTCTACCCGCGGCCAGAAACCATATCCATATCCATGATCGTGCGGCCCGGGTTTTGCAGCCGCGGCTTCTAGGAGAAGGGTGGGTTTGTGTGTGCGCATACCCCGCGAGGAGTGCATCCCTGCCACCGCCACCCATATGATCGCGCTCGGAAGGTTGATCACGACGGCATTGATATGGATACACTGGAGGCCCATGCCAAGGAAATGCCCTGCTTGCCTCCAGGGTGCCCAGGGTTTTTTTTGCTTGATTGTTTTGCGATGGAGACGTTCCGACATGGTGAGTTGTTTTGTGTGTGTGTGCGTGTGTGTGGGTGTGTTTTTGTTTGTCGGTTGTTGTTGTTGGTGTTGTTGTTGGTGGTGCTGTTGTTGTTGTTGTCGAACTTACACATTTGAAGAATAATTGTTGTTGATCCCCCGTCACCGGTGCATGCTGTTTTTTCTAAATCAAAGTGTGCCCCTCGACGCTCGCACATTGTCTTTTGACAGGGAAAGTCTTGGTGCTCAAACTATGCCCCTGGCCCCCCGGATTGCAACAATAACGGCTCCCGCCTAAGACTTCCTCCAAATTTACTCAGGACCCCCGCTCCTGAGACTTCTTCACAACTTAGTCAGGATCGGTGCTCCCGCCTGTGAATTCCTCGCAAGTTAGTCAGGACCCCCGCTCCCATCCGAGACTTCCTCACAATTTACTCAGGAACGGCGCTCCCGCTTTCTTGCAATTGAAACAAATTTCCTCGCAATTTAATCAAGTCCCCCGCTCCCGCCAGAGAGCCCTTCACATTTTATTCAGGAGTTGCGCTCTCGCCTGTGACTGCCATGGAAGTTATTCAGAAATCGCGCTTTCGACGCTCAGGAGATACGCTGCGCCAAGGACACCCTTACACGTTACTTAGTAATCGCGCTTTCGCCGTACTCAGGCATCCTGCTTGAATGTCCCACGCGCCCGACCCGCCCGTCAGGGGATCGCCTGCCCGTCGTGGGCTCCCGCCCGAAACTTCCTTCAGGAACGGCGCTTTCGCCTAGGACTTCCTCGAACGTTCACGCTCTTACCTTCCTGCTCCTCTTCCCTCTCCCTCCTCCCTCCTCTCCTCCCTCCTCTCTTCCCTCATCCTTATGCTTCCCTGCCCTATCCACTCTCCCTTCTCTCCCTCCTCCCTTTTCCTCCCGTCTCTTGCCTCCTCCGTCCTTTTTTATTTCGTTCTCTCGCTCTCTCTCTCTCTCTCTCCCCTCTCTCTCTCTTTCTCTACCTCTCTTCTATGTATTCCTGTCTGTCTGTCTCTCTCTTTCTCTCTCTCTGCCTCTAATCAACCGCCCCCCTCTTCGCTCCTTCTCTTCTGGAATTGTCCCTCTTCCTTCGTCCCTCCCCATCCCTTCCTCCCACTCTCCCTTGCTTTCCCCCTCTTTTTGCAGGGCCCACACCAATTCTAATGGCGGGCATATGTACGCCCACGAAGGATTGTCCGCCCGTTCAGGTTTGCCCGCCTGTCTAAGCCCGCCGCCCCTCGCAAAGGGATACAATCCCCCCAAAAGGGGTGTGATCGAAGACAAGAACGGCGGTTTCGAGGGTGTTGAGAATTCGTTTTGAATGACACGCGGGCAAGTAGTAGCGAACAGTCTTGCGTACGCACGTATATATTTATATACACATATATATGTGGATGTGTGTATATATAATAGATATGGACATGTGTTGAATAGTTGTCTTTTTGAGTCTCGCGTTCTTCATTTCCTCCCTTGGAAAATGCCGACGCCCTCCCGTCGAGCCAGGCAAGCCGCGGGCGCCCGCGGACGCCGTCCGCGCGGTTGCCGCGTCGCCGCGCGCCCCCGCGCCCGTCTCGCTCGCCTTCCAGGCCTGGCGAGGGTCTGGGCGAGGACAGGGAGGAGGAGGAGGGAAGAAGAGGACGAGGAAGAGGACGAGGCGGACGAGGAGGAAGAGGAGGGAGGAAGAGGAGGAGGACGAGGACGAGGACGAGGAGGAGGAGGAGGAGGACGAGGAGGAGGAGGAGGAGGGAACAGGAGGCGGAAGAGGAGGATCGTTGCGATATGTCTTATCCCGAACCAGACCTCCGGGTCATTTTAGGAGGTCGCCGCGGCGATCGCGGCAGCCGTACATCGGGGCAAGGTTTTGTCGAGGTGTGCCATGCCCCACCCCAGCCGCCCCCCAGGCTCTGCAATGTCGACGTGGATCGTCCCCTACCATGGAGCGACAACAAATTGTCAATACATGTCCAATATTTACAGCCATGTTTTTGTTGGTCAGGAGTCGACTGTCACGCAACCGGGGGGAGGAGGAGGAGGAGAAAACACAGGACAACGAGGAGGATGTGGAGGAGGAGGAGGAGGAGGAGGAGGAGGAGGAACGGACGGAAGAGGAGGAGAGGAGGAGGAGGAGGAGGAGGAGGAGGAGGAAAAGAATGGGCGGGGGTGGCGGGGGAGGAGGAGGAGGAGGAGGAGGAGGAAGGAGGAGGAGGAGGAAGAAGAGGAGGGCGGAGGAGGTGGAGGTGGAGGTGGAGGTGGATGATGAGGAGGAACAATATGGGGGAGGAGGAGGAGGAGGGAGGAGGAGGAGGAGGAGGAGGAGGAGGAGGAGGAGGAGGAGGGGGAGGAGGCGGAGGGGTGGGAGGAGGAGGAGGCAGGCGGTGTGCTCCCGCGGGCCCGCCCCGTCGCCCATGCGCTCGCGGAACTCGGGGCAGGGCGCGTGCGGCACAGGCCCTTTCCGCACCGTGTCTCGGGCGGAGAGAGAGGAGGACGAGGTGGGATCAGCGGCGGCAGCGGGGGAGTGGGAGGGGCGGACCGGGGGGGGAAAGTCAAGCGATGGCAAAGATGGGATCAAGAGGGCGTGGATTAGCATCAGCGACGGCTCCCGCTTCGGGAAGGCCGCCTCCCCCGATCCATGCATCTGGCGGCCGCGCGCCAGATCCATGGATCGCCGATCCATGCTTGCGCGCCCCCGAAGGGGGGGGGGCGACAGGAGGAGCACGAAGATGAGCAGGTCATGAATTTCCTCTTTGGCTCCCCGTCTCCTGGATGGGGTTCTCCGAAGGGCTTAGGCGACCCGTCCACCTCATCTCCTCCTCCCCCCTTTCTCCTCCCCTTCCTCCTGCTCCTGCTCCTCCTCCTCCTCCTCCTCCTCCTCCTCCTCCTCCTCCTCCCCCTCCGCCTCCTCCTCCTCCTCCTCCTCCTCGCCCTCGCCTCCTCGGGTCGCCTACGGCCACGGGGGACACCGTCCACCGTCTCCTCCCTCCTGTCTGTTTGTGTGTCTCCGTCACACTTAATTCTTGCACGTATGAAAGTGCGTGCGCGCCTCGGGCCCCTCTTGCGGCGCCAAAGGGTCACCATGCCGACCGGCCCCAGGGGAGCGGCAGTCGACGACTTCTCACGCCACCAGGTTCCAGGTTCGAGGAGGAGAAGTGGGGGGAGGAGAGTAGGGGGAACAAAAGGTTTCATAAACGTAAAACTCGGAGGTCCGCGCGCATTTCTCGGATCGGCGCTGGACCCCCCTTCCCTGTCGCGCGGGGCGCTCCAGGGGCGGCGCCGCCAGGGGGGTCCAGCGCCGATCCGAGAAATCCTCGCGGACCTCCGAGTTTTTGTGTTCATAGCATTTTTCGTCCCCCTAGAGAGGGAGGAGGGGGAGATGGGTTGGACCAGGTGCCGTGGAAGGTCGGGAAGACGCCAAGAGGGGGCGGGGGGGGGGGGGGGGGCGACGTGGAGCGGAGGCGGGGGCAGGTGGGGTGGAGCTGGAGCAGCAGTGGCGGAAGGAGGAGCACGTGCACAGGGCGGGCGGGGGGGGAGGGGGAGGGCTTCTTAGAAACACCCCTGCTTCTTAGAAGGCGCGGGCGTTATCTATAGATGTAAGGCCGGCGCCTTCTAAGAAGCAGCCTCCTTCTAAGAAGCCTTTCCCCCTCCCCCCACCCCCCACTGCGCGCCGCCAAGAAGGGGGGGAGGAGAGGGAGGAGGAGGAGATGGGTTGGACCAGGTGCCGTGGAAGGTCGGGAAAGCGCCAAGAGGGGGGGAGGACGTGGAGCGGGGGGGGGGGCAGGTGGAGCAGCCGGGAGGGAAGGAGGAGGACGTGCACGGAGCACGCGGCGGGGGGAGGTCAGTATCGTTTTAACCGACCCCTATCCCCATCGTTCTCCCCTTCGAGACCCCCAACCAAGTGCCACCCCAGTTGGGGATATGCCCCTCGAAACCCGAAGAGAGCAGCCTGTATCCCCATCTAGGGAGATAAATCGGCCAGTGGGGCCCGGGCCACGCCGCTGGGGATGGGGGTCGGATAAACGATGCTCAGGGGGAGGGGGTCGCTTGGAGGCTGAAGAAATGGTGGAGTATTTCAGCGCCTCGCAGAAGGATTGCTTCCCCGCGCATGTCTCTTGCGTACCGTCTCGTGCCATCTCTCGCTCGATTTCTCCTGCTCGCTCTCTTGTCATGTCGTGCGCCGTGTGTTGATGGTATATGTGTTTATGTCTTTGTATATCTCTTCTTCTCTTTACGAACTTTCTGAATTCGCCTCTCCTTTTTCCCCCGAAGACTGCGGTGAGGTGTCCTGGCCTTCTCCGAGTATTGTTGTTGTTTACAGGATGCCGCCGAATTGCTAATCAATATGTGTTGTTCCCCATGCAAGCGTTGTCAGTCCTTTCAGAATGGCGATCCCGCTGCAGCGGTGTTTTCATTTTCCCGTTCTCGGCCCGTCCATATCATGTTACCGCTGTAGCGCCGACCTCGTTTCATTGTTTCGACTCGTCCACATCGTGCTTCTGCTGCAGCTTTGGCCCTGCGTCCGCGTTTCCAGTCCTTCCAAATCGTGCTCCCACTGCAGCGTTGATCTCAGTTCCGCTGCTTCGGTCCTTCAGAATCGTGTTCCTGCTGTTAGCGCTGATCTCAGTTTGCGCTTCCCGCTTCCCAACCCGTCCATTTGCATTTCCCATTATGTGTGATGTCTGGTTTCCTTCTGACCTTGTTGTCGAAATCTGCCGCGTTCTCGACGCTAGGCCATGCTATGTCGTGCCATACCATGCATCGCGTACTTTCTCGGAATCATTGCCCTGTTCGACGTCCGACTGTGCGAGTAGAGTGGAGGTCTACCCAACGGTAAGGGTTGGAAGGGAGGGGTAGGACGTCAGATAGAACGCTTGCGCACTTTGCTTGCCCTCTCCCTCTCTCTACTTTCTCTCCCTCTCTCTCCTTCTTTCCGACCCCTCGTTCGAATATGGATTGTGGCGGCAGAGCGGAGTGTGTACGAATATTTGGTGCTGGTTTTGCGCATTCTGCGACGCCCATGCGATCCGGCCTTCCTCTGTACTCTGTCTTGCACGTCGCTTCCGCACGTGGGGAGTTTGCAGGGCACAGTTATTTTCTCGTGCGTGACCTCTCAAGGGTGGAGAACATATCCGTATCCGCGACCTCGCGGTCTTCATTCCGGGGCGCGATCCCGCGGATATGCGGTTGCACGGTTGCGTCCCGCGTGGAACATCCGCGGAAACATGCCCAGTGTCCGCGGGGTCGCGGCTCATGGGCCCAGCCCGCTAGGCCTTGGGTACGGATATGTGTTTCGCCCACGAATTTCACTCGAGGGGTCGTGTCTTCCCCGCCGGCCAAGGTGCGTGCTCTGCTCGCGGAGCTGCCCTCCAGGCTCACCTTCCCGCGGAGCCTGTCTAGTGCAGTCGACACAGCACGCGGCAACGTGGACGGTGAGGCGCCCAGAAACTTGGTCTCGCTCGGACGTGCGCACTCTTTCTCGGCGGGGATCATTGAGCAGCATCCTGGATCATCCCTTGGAAAAAAAACACGCGCGAGACCGAAACAAACACAGGGAATGGCCGTCCGAGCGATGGCCAGGAAACCGAAGGGGGGGAGTCTGAGCGCCTAATTAGGCGCCCCGAGGTCTGTGCGGCCCATGCTGGTCCGACGAGCGGGCACACGCACGCCAGCTTCGTCGGGCATCGGGTCTGTTCGATCGGGTTTCCAGGTCGGATGTTAGGACGCGTGTCTCTCTCGCTCTCTCTTGATCTCTCTCTCTCTCTCTTTCTCTCGCTCTCCATCTCTTATTCCTGTCCTGTTTGCCTTGTTCTCCCTCTCTCTCTCTCTCTGTGCGCGTATGCATCGGAGGTCCTCTGGCTCGCCCCCCCCCACTCGTCTCGCTGCCGCTGCTCCTCCTCGTCCTGCTCCTCCGAGGCCCCTCGTACTCCCCCGCGTCGCCCCGTGCCCCCTTCCCCCCACGCCTTGAGGTGCAGGGGCCACAGGGGATGCTGGCGCAGGGACGATCGGCGACCGCGACGACACGGTCCCCTCCCCCCGAGGAGTGGATGAAGGCGAGGGTCCTCGCCGCCAACGCGGACGGCACTTACGACCTGGACTGCAAGGCGGGGGTGCCGGAGAGCAAGCTTCGCAAGGCTGCGGCGGGGGGATGGGCCACACGGGGGAGGAGGAGGAGGAGGACGACGACGGTCTACGTGGAGAACAGCGAGGACGGAGAGGACGGCGACGAGGACGACGAGGACGGCGAGGTCTACGAGGAGAGCAGCGATGACGGAGAGGACAGCGACGAGGACGACGAGGACGACCACGCGGATTGAGGGGGAGGGGGGTGCAGCTGGCACGAGGGGCAGGGCAGCCCCACCTTCGGATGGGGTACCCTTGTGCTCTTCGTGCCTGTACTCTCCGCCCTGCGGTGCCGTTCGCCGCCCGGGGCCTGCGTGCGGCCTTCGGTGTAGGTGCTGGAGTCCTTGACCTGTGTCTTGGAGTCTTTAGGCAGGGGCAAGGGCCGGAGGAGGGGGAGGAGGAGGAGGGGAGGGGAGGAGGAGGAGGAGAGGAGGAGGAGGGAGGAGGAGGAGGAGGAGGAGGAGGAGGGAGGAGGAGGAGCAGGAGGAGGAGGCGGAGGCGGAGGCGGAGGAGGAGGGAGGAGGAGAGGAGGCGGAGCAGGAGGAGGAGGAGAGAGAGGAGGAGGAGGAGGAGGAGGAGGAGGAGGGGGAGAGGAGGAGGACGGGGCCTCGCCGCGTTTCGCCGCCTCGGGCCTTCTCGGGGGCCCTTGCTGCTGCCACGGATCGGCTTGGGCCGGCGGACGACGATGAAGGAGCCGGGTGTTGTCAGAGGTGCCCCTGGCAGACGATGCCGCCCAGGATGTGCCGCAAGACATGCCCGGCCTCCACGGCGTCCCCCCCCCCCCTGTGAGGCCCAGAAGGGCCCCAGAGGCTACAGAAATGCAGCGAAGAGCGGGGGACACATGGGCCAGGGGATCCTCCAGCAGCCGCCGAGAGGAGAAGGGGCGGCTTTTGATTTTTGTGTTGCCTCTCTCTCTCTCTCTCATGGGGCCGCCATTCAGGGGAAAGCAGGGGGTCTTGGCCGCCGCGGCGCGGGTCCGCATGGATTGCCCCGTTCGGATGCGGCACGCCCCCAGCACGAGGTGGTTTTCGGGCGTGTTTTCGGCGGCCTGCTGGTTGCTGCGCCTCCTCCCCCTCCCTCTTCCCTCCTCTTCCCCCCTTCATCCATCCCTCCTCCTCCTCCTCCTCATCCGCCCTCCTTCCTCATCCTTCCTCATCCTTCCTCCTCCTTGCTTCTTTCCTTCTTCCTTCTCTCCTACTCCTCCTCTTCCGCCGCCTCCAAAAGCAAGTACAGGGACTCCTTCCGTGCATGGCAAGCGTCCTGCTGGTGCTCCAGCGCCCGAAGGAAGTGCTAGAAGTGGACAGCCCGGGAGGCGCGGAGAAGTGGGTTCCGGAGCTCATGGTGCTCCCCGTGTTCGACAAGCCTGGAAATTTGAGCAAGGGTTATGATGATCCAACCTACTTCAGCCTTGACCACCAGGAAGAATTCCGAGCACCAGGACACTACTGACATCGGAAGGTTTTCACGAGTCGGGCCCCGGGAGGCGATGCTCGTCCGACAGCGTTTCCATACCCTCTCTCTCTGGGTGCTCGACGTGATTTCTGGGATGTGGTTCTTGGGCACGGTGGGAGCAGCGTCGAGCAAGGCCCGCATGCTGCTCCGTCTCCGCTGCGAGGCGCGCTGCCCACGACCATCAGGAGGAAAAGAAACACACAGACACAATTAATCCTCGATTGCTCTGAAAATATAGGAAAATATGGCAAGTGGGGGGGAAGACAAAAAAAACAGAAACTATAGGACAATTTCGGGAATGAGTTTATTTGTGTGTCTTTATTTGTGTGTCCTGGGGCCCCTTCAGACCAGCCAGGGCCCGCCAGCACGGGGCGATGGTCAGAGCCGCCAGGGGCCAGAGGGGCGGGCTGCACGCCCGCCGGCCGACGGAGCGCGCCACGGAGGCGCACCAGGACGCAGGGCACGCTCGTGCGGGCGGAGGCTCTCTCCGCGGAGGCGTTGCAGTCAGGAGGGGAAAAACACACAGCCAGAATGAATCTTCGATTCCCCAGAAAATGTGGGAAACTATGCGAATTGGGGGGGAAGCAAAACACCAAGAACATTTGAGAACAGATGGGGGATCTTTTTATGCGTGTGTGTGTATTTGTGTGTCCTTGGGCCCCTTCATGAAGGGCCTCGGATGTCAGCTACTTGGAGGACGAGCGCCTTGAGGCAACATGGCTGGGCAGCTCGGAGGTGGAGCGTGGGGCGGCGGGCGGTAGGGGAGACCGGCTGCGGCTGTGCTCGACACGAGCCTCGTTCTTCGAATGCTTGATGCCACCTCCCCGAGTAGGAAACTAACCATCACATATGACAAGGAGGATGACTGCGCGGAGTGGAGGACAGGTGTGGCCGACTCGGTGCTGTGCTGGGTCCTCGCGGCGTGAGTGGCCTGACGTCGTCGTGCCGCACTCCCGCGCTGGCCCCAGTCTGCGGGCAGCACCTTCCGCAGGCCTGCAAATCACCAGAGAGTCGTGGTGATATACTGGTAGATCTCTCCCTCCTAACCCAGGGCTTGCTTCCGTAGAAACTTCTCTGAGGATCTGGCCTGAGGGGGCAGAAAGAGAGAGAGAGAGAGAGAGAGACAGAAAGAGAGCGATAGAGAGAGAGAGAGAGGGAGAGAGAGAGAGAGAGAAACAACAAAAACAACAACTCCCTCCTCCCCTGGGGTTAGAATGCTGTCTGACTGCATTGGAGATTGTGTGTGTTTCGGCGGTGCCAGGATGTTTCTAGAGGTTTTCAGGCAGGTGGAGGGGCTGGCGGAGAGAGGGAGGGGCATGTGTATGAGTATGTCGGGATAGAAGGAGGAGGAGGAGGAGGATAAGCAGGAGGAGGAGGAGGAGGAGGAGGAGGAGTGGCGGGGGGAGGGAGACGTGAAGAAAGCAGGAGGAAGAGGGAAGAAGGGGGAATAGCGAGGGTAGACTCCTGGAGCTCTGTCCGCCACTGATAAGCATCAGGAAGGAAGAAGGGACAAGGGCAGGAGATGGGAGGACGATCAATAATTGTGTTTTGTTATGATGACAGGGGAAACAGAGGGAGAAGGAGGAGGGAGGAGCGAGGAGGAGAGAGGAGGAGGGACAATGATGAATACGGAAAAAGACAAGGACAGGAACGGGAAGGGACATGCTGGCTGGCTGACGGGACGAGACGTGGATAAATCCATGAGGATGTATAGCGGGGATGGTTATGGATAGTTACGAGGAGGACGACATGTGAGGAAGAGAATGGGAGAAGGGGAAAACGATTGGAAGGATACTTCGAGGTTTTGAGGCGGGGCAAGGGATTAGGAGGAGGAGGAGGAGGAGGAGTACATAGGAATGTGGATAATGAGGGAGAAGGGGGAGGAGGAGGTGAAGGTAGGATTCCAGGATGTGCTCCGCGTCATCCTCCTTGCCAGCAACTTGAAAGCCATCGGGACGAGTCCCAGGCATAATAGTAATCTAGTGAGCGTTGATGCTCCTTGCTTCTCAGGCTATGGAATCCAGCACGCCTCAAAGCTCATCATGTTTGCGACCCTCTCGAGATCTGTCACAGTTGTCCGAACTTCGCTTTGGACACTTCTGAGTCCGAGCGAAATTTTGGGGCGGAGGCTGTACGCTCTCGAAGGGCTTGCCAATATCCCGTGCCATTGGCCCCGGCTGGTGCGCGTGGCCTGCTTCCTGCCCCCCCAGGAGGGCGCGTTCTCGACCAAAGTATCTTCAGGAGGGCCCGGTTGCTGGAGCCCCAGGAGGGCCCCCCCTTCTTTTCCCCCCAGGAGGGCCCCCCCAGGAGGGCGCGATTTCTGGAGCCCCCCACGGGGACGCCGTGTGTGGCCTCGCTAACTCACTTGGACCAGTCCTGCCACTCCACGGCATGCCCGTGTTTTGATCCGCACGTCCTGGTTGGAGTGGTGTGAACTGAGATTTGTGTCGTTGTTGGTGCTATGCCGGCTCGGCGCAAGGTTGCCGCGCGTTTTAGCAGCGATGCAGTCCCGTTCGGCACGGCTGACTCACGCATCCAACTACGCACCTTCTTCCGTCGCCTGCAGATTCCCGTGTCCCTTTCTTTTCCTTCAAGGCTCCAGGGGCGCAGGCGCCGCGCACTTTCTAAAGCATGGTGGCCTAGAGGATGCAGACCACGCCCTCGAGTCAACAGAGTTTTCGGAAGCGCGCGTCAATCTAGGACTCGCGGTGCCCGCAAGCCTCCGGCGCAACATGTCTCGAGACAGTGTTGTCTGCGCGTCGGGGTTCGGACCAGGGCCGCGTCTCGGCCCGGCCCACGTTAGCCCCATCGGAAGCGGGAGTCTCGGGGCCTCCAACGGGCCAGTCACCCAGGCACCGACCACCCCACGCATGCGGTGAATTGTACGGAATGCTACGGTCGAGGAGCCATCGTATATGATTTAAACTCAATGGTAATTGCGTGTCGGTGCGGTTCTGTGTTGCTTCTTTGCTATGAATTCGACTTCGCGCCCGCGCGACCGCTAACGAGCGACGCGGTCGCATCATCTCCTGCGTTCTCGCGCTGGGTCAAGGGCTTTGTGAGCGAGGTGGGCTTGAAACAGGCGCGCGCTGTGATCGATGCGTCCTGCCGAGATGAATGCGCAGTAGGGATTCGACGGGGCCGATTCCTGTGCTAGTTAAGCTCCAAATATCGGTCTGATGTTGGGTCGGGCGATGAAACGGTGCGTTGTAGGCTTGCCGTGGGGCCTCCTCCAAGCCCCCCACACCCTCGAAAATTGCTCCCTTCGGCGGTTGGCCCGTCGCGTTCATCATGTGCATGGAGTCCCGATTCTGTGCGTGTCTCCTGCAGCCGTGCGGCGTGCGCCCCATCTAATTGCCTTCGGCCCCATTTGTCGCCGTGCTTGTGCTGATGAGCGGTGGCCGTTTGAAGGATTCGTGCGGTCTCTCTTGGCAGACTTCTGGGGCTGCTTGGAATGGAAGCGAACGAGAATTTGATGGATGGGGTTCCGTTGAGGCTCATTGGGCTCCCTAGGGGCCTCTGGGGTGCTTCGGGGGCCACATGCGAACCCTACCCCTAC